ATGTTATTTGCAATTAACATCCCATAATTTGTGATAATTCCGTATTATTGAATTTCTATAAGAGTTTTTCTATACATATTAGATTGGCAATTATGCTAGAATGTCTTTACGAACTGCTACCTTTCTAAATTTGAGCACAAAATATTTGATTGGTTGTTATTGAAAGTGACTGTTTTTATTGGTGTCAGTGAGATTCATATTAATGATTTCAGTGATATGTTGAGTACATGATATTTGCTGCTTTCAAATGTTTAAAGAGATTTAGAAATAATTTAAGTATGCAAGTAGACTCATCCGGTTCGCCGGTGAGGTATAAGTGGACCTATCCGGGATGCCGGTAGAGATTAAGTGGACTCATCCGGTATACCGGTGAGGTATAAGTTGACCTGTAGGGATTAAGTGGACTTATCTGGGACGCCGATAAAGATTAAGTGGACCCATCAAGACGCTGTTGGGGTATATAGGTGACCTACTTAGGACTCCAGTAGAGTATTTTGTGAAATCGTTTGAATTATACACTACCGTTAAAGTGTTATATGCATTTCAATTATTCGGATTATACTTAATTATGCATTTATTGAAAGTCAAACTGTTGATGCATTTCTGTTAATATATCTCCTTTTGGAAAATATTGATATCTTTCAACCATGATTATTTTTAGAATTAAGATGATCCCTTACTGAGTAGCCAAACTCATCAAACTATGGTAAACATTTTTCAGGATAACTGCGGTTTCATTTTGAGTACTCGTCAAGGGCAACTTTGGAAGATATTGTAGTTGTGTCTAAGCTTTTTTTTTGTTACTTTGTAAGAATTAGTCAGTGTAAATTTGTCCTATCAAGAGATGTATATATGTTTTGATTGTCACATCTCGGGGAATATCAGTATTGTAAATTCTTGGGGTGTGACAATTATGGTATCAGAGCAATAGGTTTAAGATTATTAAGAAATAAAAAAAAAAAAAGTGTACTTCAAATAATAATGAAGTTTAAAGAATATGAGAAAAAAAAAAAAAAATATCCCCATCTTTTTTAGTAATCAGGTACACAAATTTAGAGGACTAAATTTCTTTAAGGAGGTAAGAATGTAATAATTCTAAAATTTTTTAAAAAAAATAATAAAAAATAGAAAATAAAAATAAAAAAGAAAGCAAGAAACTCTTAATAAGTGATGGTCTATATGAGCATGATGGTCCTTAAGGACCATCGCTATTTTCAAAATCTTTTGGTTAAGTTTCTTTTGTTTGCTCCTGCCTTGCCACGTCAAGTGGACGTGGGCTTTTAACGGTTACACTTCGTTTATGAGGAGTCACTTAATAAAATATTATAATAAGGTGTCATAAGAGTTTAAATACGAGAGGCGAGGACTCCCACCCTAGAGAACTTCTGAAATCTTTCCCTTTCTGGTCGAAACACAGTGAGCTCCTCTCCCTAGCCGAATTTTTATCGGAAGCTCCCTCTCAAATATTTTAGGTAAGTGACATCGTCTTCCTGAAAAATAGTCTGCTTTTAATAAATAGTGATAATTCCATCCAGAATTTTTATTTTATAAGTTTTGTATGTAAGTGACATTATTATCTTGAAAAATAATCCATTCTTTTTAAAATTAAATGAAATAATTATTTCTGCTTATTATCATGAATTTCAGGCACGATAAATTTTATGCGCACGCGACCTCATTATTTTGAAACATAACATTTTTAATAAAAATTGTGATGTTTTATCTATGTTAGAAAATTTTAGATACTGTAAAATTATTAGAAATAAATGTGATATTTCTGCTTTTAGTAAAATTGTGAGATTTCTTTCTACTGTTTTTAAATATTTAGACATTGTGAGTTTCATGTGCAAATGACTGCCTTATTATCTAAAAAATGATATTTTTGCATTTGATTATAGCATTGTTGTGAAATGTTTATTTGCAAATTAACATCCCATAAATTGTGATAAGTCCGTATTCTTGAATTTCTATAAGAGTTTTTCTGTACATATTAGATTGGCAATTATGCTAGAATGTCTTTACGAACTGCTACCTTTCTAAATTTGAACCCAAAATATTTGATTGGTTGTTATTGAAGGTGATTGTTATTAATGGTGTCAGTGAGATTCATATTAATGATTTCAGTGATATGTTGAGTACATGATATTTGCTGCTTTCGAATGTTTAAAGAGATTTAGAAATAATTTAAGTATGCAAGTGGACTCATCCGGTTCGCCGGTGAGGTATAAGTGGACCTATCCGAGACGCCGGTAGGGATTAAGTGGACTCATCCGGTACACCGGTGAGGTATAAGTTGACCTGCAAGGATTTAGTGGACTTATCTCGGACGCCGATAGGGATTAAGTGGACCCATCAGGACGCTGATGGGGTATATAGGTGACCTACTTGGGAAGCCAGTAGGGTATTTTGTGAAATCCTTTAAATTCTGCACTACCGTTAAAGTGTTATATGCATTTCAATTATTCGGATTGTACTTAATTATGCATTTATTGAAAGTGAAACTGTTGATGCATTTCTGTTAATATATCTCCTTTTGGAAAATATTGATATCTTTCAACCATGATTATTTTTAGGATTATGATGATCACTTACTGAGTAGCCAAACTCATCGAACTATGGTAAACATTTTTCAGGATAACTGCGGTTTCATTTTGAGTACTCGTCAAGGGCAACTTTGGAAGATATTGTAGTTGTGTCTAAGCTTTTTTTTTGTTACTTTGTAAGAATTCGTCAGTGTAAATTTGTCCTATCAAGAGATGTATATATGTTTTGACTGTCACATCTCAAGAATATCAGTATTGTAAATTCTTGGGGTGTGACAAAGGTGCATCTCCAAATTTTATCGTAATATGTAATGTTGGCATAAAAAAAAAAATAGGATTATCTTAAAATCTATTTTTATATCTAATTATAAAATTTTAAACTCCAAGAATGGTTAAATCATTAATTTACAAGTTCTTTATCTTCCAATATCCTAATTAAATCATCCTCCATAAAAATAAGCAATATACAATTAGCTCTTATCTTGTGGAGATAAAATTATAAGAAACGCATGTAATCATAAAAGAAACAAGAAAACACGTCTCTTGGGTTTTACTGTTATGACGACCTCAACCTCAACGCCATTCTCCATGATAATTTCAGTTTTACTGTTTTATCATTTCTTGTAGAAATAAAAAGAAACTACCATATTGTAGTGTTTCCTTGTCCCTGTGAAACGAGTAGAATTTACGTTTATTTGTCCAAAACGAGAAGAAATTTCTTTGGTCCCATTTGACGAATTCTAACGTTACAATAAGACGTCAAACGAGTTGGGCCACTCTTGTTGTTTTGGCCCACAACCATAATTACACACGACATTTATGAGCATTGCATTTGGCGTTAGAAGTTCCAAGTCTTTGTATCCATGTCTCCTTTCTCTCTTTTCCTTTTCCCTTTAATAGGTTAATGGTGACAATTAGGGGATGTTATGCCGAGGCATATCATCCCCCCCTAACCACTCATGCTTCAACCCCATTCCCGTTCCTGTATTATGCATGTCTGTTTGTTAAGGGTAAACACTCATCTCAAATATTCTTGAGAGATTAAAATTAAGATGTATAACTAATAAAAACAAAATTCTAAAATCCTAGTTTTAAGAAAGGCAACAATAAAAAAACTGTTTTTATGCGCCATCTAAGTGGCGGAAACATTTTTATGCTCATATTGAATAGAGACTGTAAAAAATTTTAATGGTCGGATCAAAGTACGTAGTAACTCAAAATCCAATAATCTTGGGAATACTCGTGTAGTAATTCTATCCCAAAATATCAATTGAAAAGATGTTGTTAAGTACATATTTTACATGGGATGAGTTGATCCGCAATATGCTACTATAGGAGTACAGTAGACATGCGCAACATTAGCCTCAAAAAGTCACTTGTGCCGTAAGTGCACCACTCCCAAGTATGTGGCAAAGCTACGCCACGATATCTAAGAATCTTGAGAAGCAGCTCTCATAAACAAAAAATAAAATAAAATAAAAATAATCAAAACAGATTATAACTCGAGTAGTGTCGCATTCGAAGCAGCCCCGAAAAAATGATATGGGACCGGTCTCAAAATCACCAAACCCGGATGCAATTGGACTAAGATTTAGACCGAGACCCAAATAATGTTCAGATCCAAGATTTGGCCCAAGACCAAAATAATGTTCAGATCCAAGATTTGGTACAAGACCCAACCCATCAAGTCCAATATTTAGACCTATACTCGGATTCAGATCTACCCCTAGTTTCCAATGACCATGTATGTCAAGTTCAACCCTACAGCCATAAATGTATAGACCCAACCCATAAGTCCAATATTTGGACCTATACCCGGATTCAGATCTACCGCTAGTGTCCAGTGACCATGTCAAGTTCAACCCCACAGCCATAAATGTATAGCGACAGTAAGAGAGACCCAAAGTCTCAAATGAATAAAATAGGCGGGGAGAGACTGGAAGGGTAGACCCCAGAGGAAACACACGTCTACGAAGTCGTTTCTCTCTTTAATTTTGGTCTTTTTGTTGAGTCGATGACTTTTCTTCCTCAATGACCCTGCCTTTATAATTGCTCCACCTCCTGGTTTTCGGGTTGACACAAAATTCATACTGATGCTCGAACACTGAACCTTAATGGCTCGAACTCATGGTTCAAAGGCCTTGAAGCTCGTTTTTCGACTCTCTGCCCTTTTATTTTTCCACTTCTGCTGGGTTGTCGTGGCCCAAAACCAAAACCCTGCGGAAAATGATGACGCAGGGACCAGTATTGGCGTTATCTTGGATTTAGACTCAAGGGTTGGAAGGGAAATGAAAATTGCGATGGAAATCGCAATTGAGGATTTGCAAAGTTCAAATCATTCGTTACGCAGGCTGCATCTACAAGTGAGAAACTCTCAAGGAGATCCCCTTCAAGCAGCCTCTTCAGGTTAGCTTCTGTGTGTGTGTTTTTTTTTTTTTTTTGACAAACAGTAACATTTCATTCCATCATTCACTTATTCAACAGTCTGATTAACTCAGAGATAAACCAGTACACCGAATGTAATAGCCTCTTCAGGTTAGCTATTACTCTTTACAATTGGTTTAGGAATCAAATCATATAGTTCAGTTAAGACATCAGCCGTAAACTACAAATGTAACCTGAAAAATCCATGGGAAATGGTTGTTTTGTTGTCGGAAAACCTTCTATTTGATCTTCTCAAACCTCAAGATGTATGGAGATAGGAAAAAATGCGGATTTCAAATCCTAATTATAGTGCATCTTCTGGCACATTTTTTAGAGTGTCTATTTTCAAAATTTTCCAGTATTTATAGATGGGTGCGGTTTGTGTAGAGCCGATGCTATAAACAATCAAAGTAGATTGCATCTTCCAATGGGGTCGAGAAATGTGGTGTCCATCCTGGAAATCTTTGTGATAGCCTTAAAAAATATATTTTCATATCTAATTATAAAATTTAAAGCTTCAAAAATAGTGTAAATTGGAAATCTTGAAAATTGATGGTCAAAAAATACATTACGAGAAGTACTATTTGCAAAACTTGAAATTCATTTTTTTCTCATGTCTATGCATCTTAATGCCAAGATCAATTTGAGGATGTTTAGACATCAAAACAACCTCTTCTAGTGGACTGCACCATCTTTGAATTCTAAATTTCACAATTAGAGGGGAGAATATATATATATATATATAGATTTAAAAACCCCTCAAAATACAAAGGTTCAAGTTAGACGAGGGGTTGTGATGAATGTATTTATGAAAACAATCATTACTTTTTTATTAAAAAATTATTTAAATAAGTAACTTTACCATCAAACATGAACAAATTTGAAATTTTCGCAAAAGTACAATAATATTTTGAAAGTTAGTCTCTTTAAACTTTATTTGTAGAGTGCTATTATATTTTAGTTAAAATTTTAACTTTACCCCTTATGGAAATGACAAAAGTGCCTTTTGTGTTGTAGTAATATTTATAAAATTGCCCACAAAAATAGCTTTTTTAAAAAAATAAACTTAAAAATTAATAAATCCATAATTCAAAATAAAAAATTTGAATTTAGAGTGTTCTTTATCTTGCCTTTCAAAAATTGAAAGGTCTCCATTCAATCTTGAGACACTAGTTTTTTCTAGTACATAGAGATTTCAATTCACAATTTTTTTTTTTTCTAGTCTAGGGTTTGAAATTCAATATATTACATCCCAAAACTCAAGGCCCTAAAATTACCCCTATATTAGCTTCTACCTGAGGGAGTGAATAGATATTATACTCCCGTAGGAGTATAAAATCTTTTGGTCATGCACAAAAGGCCGATGAAATGAGCTTGCTGCATTCGTATAATTGTGTGTATGGAGGGCAGATGATCTTTGCAATTCTAAAACTCGAAGTCAATAGTTTTTGCTCCTAAAATACAAAAAGCTTGACTTGTTTTATACTTTTGAACGATTCTTTGCATGTAAATTTTTTTGCGCAAGTGTTTTTTGGTGAATAACAACCTTTGTTCGAGTTGTAAAAACTCGTCTGAGTGACTTCCTGCGTCTACGTGGCATGCTTTGTAAATTAAAAATGAGTTAATATCCAATGAGACTATTTATCCATAATTATTTATAACCATCCAATGTGAATACAAAATTCGAGAAAATTTCTTTTGAAGTTTGAGCTTGGTCAATTGACTTAATGCAACCATCAAATTTCACATCTATTGATCAAGTTTAATCATGACCATTTTATACCAAAAGTAAATGGTTTCATTGTATATTTTTCTATTAAAAATTGAAAATTTTATCGAAAAGGAAAAATTTATATAAGGTGTTAATCTTATACTATTGAAGTATGGTGAGCCTAAAAATAAAAAAATAGTCTTTCGATGTCGAAAAACCCTCCAATTTAGTCATCTTGATCTCAAAATGTATTCATGTAGACCTTATCAAAAGAAATCTAACTTTTCAAAGTCATCCCTTTGCAATTATTCCAAGTCATGGTCATATATAAGTCATCCCTTTGCAATTATTCCAAGTCCTGATCATATGTATTTTGATTGATATTTTGAAATTAGACAAAAAAACAATAAACTATTAGATACTTCTTCTCTTAGGTGTATTTTAATAAATTTCTCTTTAAGATTCAAGAAGCACGAGTTTTTTTACTTTTTATGTTGATTTTGGCTGGCCCTTTGTCTCTTTCGATGTAGCGGCACAATGAGTTTCTTTTTAAATTCTAAAATCCATTGCACATAAACTTGAAAAAGCCTTTAAGAAACTTAACAATAGCCTTCTACTAGGAATAGGTGCATGGTATAGCTGGTTAGGGTGGTTGGCGATGGGTAATGTTGAGATCTTGAGTTCCATTTTTATCAGAAAAAAAATATTTGCCTTTATTAAAATATTTAATTATTAGAAGGGCTTTTCTATACTTTCTCTACAATATAAACTTATCTATTTCCATTTATCCAACCCTCCATTCACACGTCTCTACACTATTTTATTTTTAATTTTTTATATATAAAGTATTTTGACACCAGATGTTTTACGTCCAATTCTCTATTAAACTCTAACTATCGAAAAATATAAAAAAAATATTTTTAATAAAATAAAATGACCAAAATATCCCTAAAAATTTCAAGTCGTATTTTGGTTATTATATTTTATCAAAAAATTATTTTTAATATTTTTTTATAGGTGCGCCCCAATAAGAAGATGGCACGTACCAAATTTCATATTTATACAATTTGTATAAAAAACATTAAAAATAAAATACTTTGAGACGTCGGTTCTAAGATTAAAAGGTGAGTAGCTTTCTTGATCAAAATTGGACGGTTGGATGATAGGAGAAGTATAGAAACCTTTCTCTTATTAGAATACAATAAATAAAGAAAAAGTATACAATGAGATCATTAATCCAGGTGGTTGCAATTAATCTTGATCGCTGTAAAATTGGGTGGCTGCAGTTATTCCATTGATCAAGCTTAAAGTTTAAAAGATATTTACTTAAACTGTGTAACACATCCAAGCTATCAGATTTTATTTAGGATGATTATAAGTAATCATGACCTTCTTGTAACAAAAATAAATGGTCGCATTGTATACATTCTCTTAAATAAATACAAGATAGACAAATATTTGTTATTCACAAATAGTAGTCAAATATGATAAATTGGATACATGCACATTGTTGTAATCAGGGAGTTAGTTCTATGTTAGGAGAAGAAATTTGAATATACGTCATTGAATATGTGCATGCAAGCATTTATGCTTGTATTTTTCTGTTTAAAAAAAAGAAGAAGAAGAAGAAGAAGAAGAAAACACCCACTAATATAGCATCTTGTTGAGGTTTTACTCAGCTATCGACCTCATCAACAAGCATGGCGTCAAGGCAATTGTGGGCTTAAACTCAGTGCAGGAAACTACTTTTGTGGCCAGAGTTGCTAAAGTGGCACAAGTGCCCATAATTTCCTTCTCTTCGCCTCCACTTTGTCCTACAACAACTACCCTTGTCTCCTCAACTTTCCTGTGTAACGTAGCCAGTAACAATTCATTACAAATGGAAGGTGTGGCTGCCATAGTTGCTTCTTACCAATGGAGTAGAGTTAATCTTATCCATGATGACGATGATTCCAGCTCCGGGGCTTTTCCTTTTTTGATAAAGGCACTCTCAGCTGTCGGATCAAAGATTGAACAACGGTTGGTTTTCTCGGCATGGACTTCTACGTATGATGTTGGCAGTGTTGTGAGGCAAAAGCTTCAAAGGTTGAAGGAGAACCATTGCAAAGTTTTTGTGGTCCACATTACTTCCATGGCTCTTGGCAATATTATGTTTGAAGAAGCAAAGAGAATGGGGATGATGGAAAATGAGTATGTATGGATCATCACTGACCCTCTAACCTCACTACTTGACTGCATGAATTCTTCTGCATTTGCATCTATGAGAGGGGTTCTTGGAATCAAAACTTCATACATTTCTAAAACCATTGAGGTTAAAGAGTTCTCTTCAAGGTTTAGTCGACGATTCGAATTTGAATACCCAAATGGAGAAAGAGCAGAACCCAGCATATATGGCCTTCGAGCATATGATACGATCAACCTTCTCAATCATTCAATTGAAACCATAAAAACTCAAAGAAGCAAAAATTGCACCTTATCTCGCAATGAAACAATTACTCCTTTTAATCTCAGACCATCTGTAGAGGGACTGCAGTTGCTAGAGGTGGTTTTGTCTAGTGATTTAATAGGGCTGAGCGGCAAGATGAGGTTCCAAAATCGAGAGCTTCCAGCCTCAGCTGTTCAGATCATTAATGTGATTGGAAAACACTATAAAACAATGGGGTTTTGGAGTCCTGAAGATGCATTTTGGAAATATAAAATGGATGAAGGGATAACTAAGAACATATCAATGGATGTGCTAGGGCCGGTCATCTTTCCTGGTGGCCCTAATACAATCAATCCTAGGGGTTGGCAGTCTCCAAAAAATATGAGAATTGGGGTGCCCTTAAGGAAGGGGTTTAAGCAGTTTGTGGAGTCGACGAGCAATGGGACTCATAATGAGACACAGTTTAGGGGCTTCATAATTGATGTTTTTGAAGCTGTTTTGAAACGTTTGCCCTATGACCTGCCTTACAAATTTTTTCCTTATTATGGAAATTACAGTGATCTTGTGGACCAAGTATACCGCAAGGTAATCCTCTTTCATTCTCTCTATCATTTTTTGTTATATCTTTATTTTTATTTTTCAATTCTCTCTTTTGCTAGGTGGTAACACCAAGGGGGTGGGAGATAGCATCTATAAAGAACCTCCATGTTTAATATTTCCATTGTTTAGACTCACATGTTTGTGATATCTGAATTTGGGTAGTTTTAAGGCAGTCTTCCTACTTATTCATATTTGCACAAGTCCTAGCTTTCAATCTTCAAACCATTAATATGATGGCTCCATTGTAAATGTAGCAGCCAGGCAGTTATATTTTATTTACCTCTGTAAAGAATCACTGATTTTTATAAAACCAAGTCTTGGCTAGGTCTGGTTTGATCCCAGAATACCATTTATGGAAAAATTCTAAATATGGGTTTAAGGGTGAAAAAGTATGCCAAATAGCCCTTTTTTTTTCTTCTGGAAACCTGAGTTTTATAAAATCTGATTGCATATTTTGTAGGACAAATAAATGAGTTTCACTTTTCTTGCAGGAGATAGATGCCATAGTGGGAGATATAACAATCCTAGCAAATCGTTCTCGTTATGTAGATTTCACTCATCCAGTCTTGGAGTCTGGTGTTCAACTATTGGTGCCTGTCAAAAACGAGATATCGCAAAAGGCATGGTTGTTTATGAGGCCTTTTACAGAGGCCATGTGGTTGGTTACCGGTGCCCTCTTCATTTATACTGGAGTAGTGGTCTGGGGTTTGGAACGCCATATCAATCCGGAATTTGGAGGCACGCTTTGGAATCAAATAGGAACATTGCTCTGTTTCATCTTCTCAACTCTCTTCTTTGCCCATAGTAAGTAGCACAATATTAAATGGAAATGCAAGATAATTCTATTTTGATGATTTACTCTCATTTAGAAAAACAGATTTTCCCTAATTTTTGGGCACTAGGACCACCAAAAGTTCTAGAATTGCCTGAGGGCATGTTTGTTTCTTGTGCAAGTGCATTCCAGGGGACTCTAGATAGAAATTTCCTATCATTCTAAGAGAATGCTTTCATATCTCAATATTATGAAGACATTTTCTCACAATAAAACATAAAACATAGTGTAAGCTGATATGCACTTTCCTAGCTGCTATAGAAACTCTAGTTTACCAATATACAGACAAGGAAAGCCAGAAATTTTATGGGAAAATTATTGATAGATAATTCTTTCCCACAAAACAAATATGCCTTCATTATAGCACATTAGAGTATTGAGTACATTATAAAATTCTTATTTCCAATGTCGCCGGTCTGTTCTTTTCTAATGTCAACATTTAGCACATGTTCCCCCAATGAATTTTCAAGAGCCCAAACCTAGAAAGCCAATTAAAAGCTTGAGATAGGCTCAGGCTTCCATTGGTTTGGATGCTTTAGGCTTGGGCCAGTTTATTATCAATGGTCCTAAAATCGGACTTCTATTCATGCAGGAGAAAGCTTGAGGAATAATTTTTCAAGAGCAGTCATGACCATTTGGTTGTTCGTGGTGTTAATATTGACTTCTAGCTATACTGCTAGCCTAACATCGATGCTCACTGTTCAACGTCTAGAGCCGACTGTTACAAGCATAAACAATTTATTAAGGAATAAGGCAACTGTTGGCTGCATTGATGCTTCTTTTATGTTCGATTATGTGAACCAAGTGCTAGGCTTCGAAAGAAGCAACATCAAGAGAATGAAAGGAGAGGAAGATTTTGCACAAGCATTGTCGAATGGCACAATCGCAGCTGCAATCATGGAAATTCCATTCATTAAACTCTTTCTCTCACAGAAGAAATGCAAAGGAATCACTGTTGCAGGACCCACCTATAGGTTGGGAGGCGATGGTTTTGTAAGTTCTTCATGAATACACTTGGTTGTGGCTTAACATATGCAGAATAAATAATAAAAATGAACCACGAATATGTGCAAATTTTTATAATTAAAGTTTCTTTCTTGATTGTAATAAAAGTTATTGTTCCACCATTACTTTTTAGGTGTTTCCTCTCGGATCCCCTCTAACATCCGATTTTTCCAAAGCCATCCTAGAGATTAAGGAGTCTGGCAATATGGCAATTTTGGAGGAGAGGTGGTTTTCATCCATCCAATGTCCCACAATCTCATCTGATGGCAACAATGGTGATAGCCTCAGCTTGGATAGCTTCTGGGGACTCTTTCTCATCACAGGGGGAACTTCCACCCTCGTTCTCATCATCTTCCTTTCTATTATTGTACATAATTATCGGAATCATGTTAATGAGGAAGAAATTATGGAGGAGACAAAGAGTTCGTGGAGATACATGGTTGCCTTTGCAAAGTATTGGGATGAATTACAGATTGAAAACATGGGAACATGAGGGATATAAAGAACTTAAGGGGGAGGCCTTCAAGCTAAAGAGAGTCAAGCTTTAGTACTGCCCAATGTCTCACAATCTCATCAGATGACAACAATGGCAATAGCCTCAACTTCGATAGCTTCGGGGACTCTTTCTCATCACAGGGGGAACTTCCACCCTCGTTCTCATCATCTTCCCTTTTATTATTGTACATGGTTATTGGAATCATGTCAATGAGGAAGCTATTATGGAGAGGACAAAGAGTTCGTGGGGATACATGGTTGCCTTTGCAAAGTATTGAGATGAATTACAGATTGAAAACATGGGAAAATGAGGCATATGAAGAACTTAAGGGAGGGGCCTTCAAGCTAAAGAGAGTCTAGCTTCAGTACTGCCCAATGTCCCACAATCTCATCAGATGGCAACAACGGTGATAGCCTCAACTTGGATAGCTTTTGGGGACACTTTCTCATCACAGGGGGAACTTCCACCCTCGTTCTCATCATCTTCCTTTTTATTATTGTACATAGTTATTGGAATCATGTCAATGAGGAAGATATTATAGATAGAACAAAGATTTCGTGGAGATACATGGTTACCTTTGCAAAGTATTGAGATGAACTACAAATTGAAAACAAGGGAAAATGAAGGATATGAAGAAGTTAAGGGAGGGGGCTTCAAGCTAAAGAGAGTCAAGCTTCAGTACTAACAACACCCCCTCCTGCTCTTCTTTTTCCTTTCATTTGCTCTTACAAATGTATTTTTAATTCCTTCCTATCTATGTTAGGGTTTACTTGCATATGATTTGTCATATCAATTTTTTATACAAACAAAAGGAAGGAGAATGACATAAGAAAAAAATATTCATTAGTAAAGGCTACAAAATTGGCCAAGGCAGTCCTACAAAATCATCAGTGCACACTTTCTATGGCATGAAATGCCAATATCTAAATCTAATTAGAATTGATATCCATTGTAAATCATTCACAAAGTTTAAGATCCAGCTAAAAGCTTGAATATTGCGAGGAATAGGCAGCTTCATACTTTAGGCATTGTTGACTGAGACCATCTAGAGCTACCTTTGAATAGCACATTATACATAAATTGAACAATAAACATACCCTCTAAAGTGGGCTCCCCAATAGCTCAATATCTTAATACTCGGCTCAATTACTACATTTGAAAATTTGTTGTATTTACATTGGATATCCGAATTCGTGTTAAACCGTCCCCATCTACCAACTCCACAATTTTGCTTTTTAGTTTTGACACTACTTGATATACTTTAGGAACTAAAAATTCAATGCCCTATCACCTATGCCAAATTAGTGTATCCTCCCCCTTGCCAACCATTATCTAACCTCAATCATTTAAACTTATGGCTTGACATGATATTCCATTCCATAAAGCTGAAATCTTTTGATTCCTTCTCCCTTTTCCAATTGATACTTATTCAGTAAAACCTACTACCACAATTGCTTACCTTAAATCTGTTAATTTCTACCACGACTTGGTTAACATCGGTAAATTCACATGTTTTAATTTTTTTTATTCCCATTTTTTTATCGCACCTGGTTGCGCAGACTTTCTCCCAAGCAACCAAGTTATACGTCCCTTGTTCATCATTAATGAGTTTGTGTTCATATTTATGTCGGCTTTCTTCTAAAACATTGTATTTTCCATATAGAAACTTGCATATCTTTGTGCATGATTTAGTAAATAATCAACCTAACATTGGACATATAGATCTGGTATGCAATTTTAGCCATGATTTCTGCATTTTGGCCAAGACATCCTTGAATTTGGACACAAAATTAGCTATAATTTAATGCGATTTGTATTTGAATAAGATTATTGACCTTCATTCTCACATGTATAGTGATTTTAGAGTGCACATTCTTTTAAATTTGAAAATTTCATGCAAAAAATTTGTACAAGTTGTTTTGGTTGCCGTTATATAACCCTAGCCTCTCAAAAATTCAAAATTGTTCAAATGGATCAACAACTTCTGTCCAAGTCTTAGGTTTATTATTTTAAAGTTTCCAGCCATTCAATCAATCGAAAACTTCAAAATCGAAATCAAGGTTCATGCATAACTTCAAATGTAAATTTTAGTCCACCGGTTTCATTTGGTCCTTGGTTTGGGTTCTGGGGCAGGCTCGATAAGTCCTTCCTTTCTTTTTCCTTTGAGGAAAATGGTTTGGTAAGGGCTGTGGCCCGATCAATATATAAGTAAGGAAATATAAGGATGCAACCTTATAGCGTAGAACTACGGATGCACCTCAAAAATCCATCAGAAAAGGTAGTTTTAATTTTGAAAAACCCTTTGATTGATCATCTCGACATCCAGATATATAATTATGAAAAATAAAATGATTTTAAGTCTAAAAAATACTGCATTTTACAAAATATTATCTATACCGTCCATTTTCAAGATTTGCACATGTTTATAGATCTACTTGATTTTAACCATTTTTTAAATTTAAAATTTTATAATTAGATATAAAAGTAGATTTTGAGATAATCTTAAGAAGATTTGACATCAAAATTATATACCATGATAAATTTTGAAGGTGCACCTTACCTCTACAGCTATGGATGCATCCGTATGCCAACTGCACCCTATAAGTAAAGCCTCACCTTATAAGTCATCAAAAATTATAATTCAAGTATTAAAGAACTTTTAAATCAATCATCTCAGCTTGAACATTATGGTTGTGAAAAAAATTAAGATTTTAAGTTAAAAAAATGGTGTATATTGCAACAAAACATCTAGACCGTCCATTTCCCCCTAAAAATAAATGTTAACAAATCCACGAGATCTGCACCATTTTTTAGTTTCAGATTTTATTTTGGGCATTAAAAACTGATTTTGGAACCATCATGAAAATTTTCGATGCCCAAAGTGCTTTCCCTATGAGGATTTAGGTATAAACAACATTTTATGGAGATTAAAGGAACAGGCTTCCTTAGGGTGGAGGAACGAGGAGTGTATAAGTGATAAAGGATCGGATTCTTTAAAGCAGTTTCGTAAATAATGGAATTGGTGGCCGAGAAGGGTGGCTAGGACTCAGACCCGACCCCACTAGGTTTTACCTGGACTCGGGCCTAGTTAGTTCAAGAGATTTGGACCATCCCGGACCCCAATCAGGTCCAAGTCCATTGGGACCCAGACTCGAGCCTTAAACATAAAAATAAAAATAATATTTCATATATTATTTAAATATTATTATACTGGTTGGATCAAGTCGGGCCAACCCCGACCCAAGTCGGGTACAAATCATTTGAAGCCTGACCTAGTTTGGGTCATCCCCACTCGATTGCCACCCTATCACTTGAAACTCTATGCCAAATTGCCAATTCCATGTTGGATTGCTGAACTAAAAATGATGGAAGGAAAGATAAAAAAAAACCGTGAAAATAGTTGAATAAACGTTTTAATTAAACTAATTCAAAAAGGGATTCTATACAATGAGACCGTTTATTTTTTGTACAATGAGGTTACAATTACTTACAACCATCCGATGTGAAATCTTAGCTTGGGATTGTCACAAATTTCGAGAAAATTTCTTTTGAACTTTGAGTTTGGTCAATGAAATAAATGTAGACACCCTATTTCACATCCAATGGCCAGGATTAATTGTGACCACCTTGTACCAAATATAAATGATCTCATTATATACTTTCCCATTCAAAAAAGCCTCAAAAACTTTTTGATCATTAAAGAGAAATTGAACACTAATTCAAACATTGAATTCAAAATTCCCAAAAAAACCTTTGATAGTTTTTTTCATTTGCGTTATTTTTTTTACAATGTTTTAAATGCGTTAGTTTTTTTTTTAAAAAGTAACCTATTTTGAATCAAAATGCAATTTGAAACCGTTCGAAAAAAAATTAAAATGACCAGATTCACAGCAATAGATATCGGATTTCAAGGTCAAGAAACACTCCAACTTTGGGAACTTTCCATTTCACCAAGAAAGGGTTTTGGTTCAAAATATTGAGATCTAGATCAAACTTATCTGAATACCTAGATCGAAATTTTTGAGACTAAAACCTAAAAAAAAAAAAGTCTCAAATGGCTCAAAATGATCCCTGAATTAAAAAAAAGGGTGTGGGTTTTTATAGAGCCGAGGCTTTAAACAATCAAATTAGAGCTCGCCTTCAAATAGTATCGAGAAATATGATTTCAATATAGAAAATCTTTGTAATAGCCGTAAAATGCATTTTTCATCTTTAATTATAAAATTTAAAGCTTTAAAAATAGTGTAGATCAAGCATATCTATGCAAACTTGAAAATCTTGAAAATTGACAGTCCAAAAATGTAAAGCTTTAAAAATAGTGTAGATCAAGCATATCTATGCAAACTTGAAAATCTTGAAAATTGACAGTCCAAAAATGTATTATAAGATGCACTATTTCGAAAACTGGAAATTCATTTTTTTCTCATTATCATACATCTTGATGTCAAGATGATCAATTTGAGGATATTTGAGCATCAAAATAACCTATTCTAGTGAAATTTTGCTCTAATTTGATTGTTTAGAGCCTCTTTGTATAAACTATTTCCACTGGTCTTTTTATTAAGTTGGGTTTCTATGAGTCAGCCGACTCATACTGTGCTTATGGTCCTCACTGAAACTTATGACTCATTCTATGCTTATGGTCCCCACCTAAACTTATCTTAAAATTGGATTTTTAATCTCATACTATTCATATTTAAAGTGTGATTTTTTTACATAAATTTCTACAATTTCTAAATCCATTTTAGGCCTATGAGTTTTTTACAACGTTAGTAAGCCAGCGGACTCTTGCACCCACGGACATCACTTTGCACTTTTACGATTATGGGCCAAAACGCCGGAAGGCCTTCATATTGACCATATCCGGGTGGTGGGGCTATTACTCTAAAAGTGAGAGTAAGCACCAACCCCCATATCTAGGTGGCGGGGCTATTTGCCCTAAAATTGAGAGTTAAGCACCCAATATTGTTCACCCAATTTTTATTTATTTTTGCCAATTGAGTGGGGATGGTGATTTTTTTGTTTTCTAAATCCTTATTTGCCTTTGAAGACATTAGGTGAGAATGGAAACTTAAGCTTTAGCTGGGGCACTAGCACCACGACGCCAACCCCATTCTCAACTGTCGCCCAATTTTAAACATGGAAACAAATTATTGTTAATACCAATTTATCTCCCCCAAATCTGGATACAAGAACAAAACTCAAAATTGCTTCAAAACTTGTTTCCCAAGGGATATTTACATGTGCCTCAAGATAATTGCTTCAAAACTTGTTTTAATACGGTTTTTAATTTTATAATATGAAAGTGTTTTTTAATACTTTTTATTTATTTTAATATTATATTATATTATTATATTATAAAATTATATTTTAATTAATAATTATACAAACATCCAAACAAAAAAACAACCTCTCAATATTCACATATTTTTACAAATACTGAAACTACATAATATACACTCTCAACTTTTTAAAAAAAACCCTTAAAAAACACCATTTTTTTTTTTTTATAGATTTTTAGTATTTTGAGTAGTTTTTGAATTTTTTTTGGCAGAAGCTTGCAAATTTGGCCGATTCTCCGAGCCGACATGATTTTTAAGGAGGCTGATTCGGGTCACCGATTTGTTTTTTTTTTTTTTAACTTTGGTTGCAACCTGAAACAATCAAAGTAAGGTTCACCTCCAAAATTC